TCCTTGTTTTCTAAGGATACGGGTTAGTTATTTTATAGACTGTCTCTCAAATACTTACCTGATGTTTTCTCATTATTCAGCTGGAGTTATGGAGTTGGGGGGGGGGGGTAAATACCACAGAGGTGAAGTGCCTCTTTCCTTCAAGAGGTAAATATCAGGTGTATGTGATGGCCACATGTCTTATCACTGGTGAGGGTAACCTTGATTAGCTGGTTACAGTGGTGTCTGCCAGGTTTCTTCATCATAAAGCTACTCTTTCCCTCTCCATAGGCTGTTGGTTAGAAGGGAGTGGCTAGGTCCAACCCACACTTAATGGGAGTAGAGTTAATTTCCATCTGTTGGAGGGGACATATCTTCATATATTGTTTGCAATTCTTATGTAAAGGAAGATTTGTCCTTTCTTTTCCATTTATTTATTCATTCATTTTTCAATCTAGCACAAGAAAAGTGTGTTTATTAATAAAAATTCAGGAAAATCCCTTAGAAACCAATGGCGGGAAAAATAGTCAGTGTGATGGGGTCTGCAGAGAGGTTAGAAACCAAAATAAGAGACCACACTGAGAAAACAAGGAAGGCGCTCTCTGAGGTCTATGTTCCATTGGCAGTGGGCTGGCTTTTGCCACAAGGTTCTTAGTTTCACTTTCTTCATAGCTTCTATTAGCCAAAACCTCTAGATAGCTGGAGCCCTCCTTTGTCCCCATGCTACATGGCTGTTGCCCCAGGGCATTATGTCATCTCACTATAGCTGGGGGCCTTGTCTCAAATTCTCAAGAGAAAAAAACTCATTTTCTCAGCCTAGCCTATAGAGTCGATCTTTCTGGGACAGGTGTCCGCTTGAGTCCAGTTAGCTATGGCCAGCAATGGGGTGCAATTAAATGGTAAAAAAATGCAATTGCCCTATCATCTCTTCATAAGAGCTCTAAGAAGAGAACATGTGGTAGGCTGACTGCAAAATGCTTCTCCGGCACTTCCCTTCAGTTCCTCCTGCAATAAGGGTTCTACTACTAAAATTATAGCAGAGACCACATTCATTTCCAAGTCTACATATGGGCCCTCTTTTAACACAGTGTTCTTCAGTGATCATCTCCATTCTCTAATATATTGAAATTTCTGCCAAAAATTTTGTCAAGCAGATAAAATAGGGCTGCTGTGATTGAAGCATTGGTGGGGGCTTATCGTGTCACTCTCTGGGCCTCCCCCTTCTCTCCCTAGTGCCTGCCAAGCTCCTTTTCAGAATGTAGTTTAAGGGAGGTGGGCCGGATAAATGATTTACTTCCCTGGGCCTCAGTTTTCAAGTTGAAGAATGAAAAGCCACTGCTTTCATCTATCATTCTTCTCTCTGGGACTGTACAGAGGGGCCCTGGGAGATTCAGAGTCCCTATTCCTAAGAACATCATCAAGATAAATTTAGTAATATATCCGTCAGGGTCCCAGAAGGCACACTCAAACTGGGTCATTGCAAGCATTTAATAATGGACTCTACAGAGATGTGGGCAGGGTTCAGGAAAAATAGCAAGCATGACTCTATACCCCCAGAACTCGCAGTGTCAGGAAGCCATCACTACACCTCAGGCAGAAAGGAAAAAACGGAGTGTTTTCTGAAGATGGGGAGAGTGGCCCTGTGGCTATGGTCTCAGGAGAGAGAAGCAACCATCCCTAGAAAGCGGGAGGGAAAGAGCTGGGGGAACAAATACTCCTTCTTCCCAACCTCCCTCTGATCTGCCAGTGGCTGCTATCAACTGCACCCAACCAGCATCTGGAGGGCCAGGTTGCTTTTGATTCGGTCTCTAGAGAGCAGCGAGCTTCCCAGCACAGAGACCAGGGTGGCGAGGGTGGAAATGGATCTGAAGAAACACAAGGAAGGTATGGAGCACAAGACAAGTAGATGATTTGCAGAAGCCTGCCTACAAACTCCCTTCCCTGACTTGTATCATCATGCTCTGTCTATCTCATCATCCTGCCTTCTTCTCATTTTTTCCTATCATCACTCTAGGCAGGCCATTGCAAGGTTCCTTTCATGTGACAGATAATGGAGCAGCTTAGTTTTGCATAGCGAGGGCCCATTTTAGCCCACTTTTCATATATTTATAGCAATGAAAGACCTGGGCCTTCGTTCCTGCTTTTCTTGGGTTTCCTCCCAGCTCTGGAGGCCAGAAGTCTAGTTTATGGTTCCTTGTCCTGAACTCTGATGGACTTGCTTCTAGACAGAGTGCTTTGCTGAGCAACCCCTCCTTATGCGCACAGGAAAGCCCCCCAGTAATTTTTTGTGTAATGGAAAAAGAAGCCTCAAATTGCTTTCTGAGTAAATGAGGTTTGCAGTCTTCCTGGAAAGAGCTTTCTTCTCTGAGGCTGCTATCGCCACAGTCAATTGAAAACTAGGAAGTTGCTTTAAGAAATGCTTGCCTCTGCTTTGGAATGTAATTGAAAACAACTGGTCTGCTTCTACTGAAACACAGGGAGTTGGAACCCAGACTGGCAGCTAATCAAGGAGGGGGTAGGGACAGAGTGATTTGGAGAGGAGGGGAAGGCAGTGATTGGGCCCAGGCAGGGGAAAAACAAGGTTAGAAGAAAGGAAAATAATTTGAGGTTTCCATTTAGAATAAATTTCCATCTCACCTGTTGATAGCAAAATGGATTGTGAACAAGAAAAGGTGGGTGATTTTTTTTAGAGTGACAACATAGTCTCACATCCAGGCAGGTAGAAGGCTAGTCCAGAGCAAGACTGGCACCCTAGTCTCCTTAGAGCAAGTTAATGGAGAAAGGCAATGCCACCCCCATTTGAAAGAGGAGAAGGGGAGGCCAGTTCACAGAGCTTCAGGGATAGTTCATCATTGCTGAGTTTTCACATTCACTCCCAGTTACCAGTCTCACTTCAACAAGAATAGAAAACTCGCCCCAACATACCCTTTGCCTTTTGTTTCCTGTGGGCCCCAAATGCCAAGGCCTTACATTTTCTTCATGAACCATAATTTTATCCCTAAGCTAATGGCCCACACCAAGTGCAGATGCCAGCAAAGTGTCTGCCAGCTAGGTCCACCCCTGGAATAAATCCCTCCCTGAGCAATGTGCCTTCCAGCTCTGCAGAAAAAGGCACTGGGCACTCCTCCAGAAAGTCTGACACACATTCTTCCAGTGCCTTGAAGAATACAGAGAATTTGGGGGCCAAGTTCAGAAGACAGGGATCTTAAATGCCTTGCCTCATAAGAAAACATTTTCCCTGTTACATTGGCAAGAGATGAGTTGATTGCATTCAAAAGCATTAAAAAGGACATTTTAGGTAAAATTAGAACAAATTCTTCCCAGAGGTTTTTTATGGTTGTTACCTTAAGAATGAATGTGAACTGATTTGAAGTCCTTCATGTTAGGATTTTGGTCTCTGAGGAATCAACAACAAGCTGGCTCACAGACAGGTTTGAGGAAACATTTTCCCTTTTCTGGTCTCCCGTAAGACTGCACAGTCCCAGTTGGTCCCCCAAAGTGAACATTCCTGTTTTGTGCATCTTGTGAGGCACATAATGACTAACACTTAGAACAGGGCCAGGCATACAGTAAGCACTTAATAAGTGTTTTATATGTATTAACTCACTTAATTATCACATGCTATGAAGTGAATACTACTGTAGTACCTCATTTTTCTCATTTGCAAACTTTAGATAAAGATGTGATGTAACTTTCTCAAGGTCACGTCACTAGTAAGTGCTTATGGGGATGTTGTGCTGTGCTGCTCAGACCCTCTCCAGGAATGAGAGACTTGCACTCCTGGCTGCTGAGCGTGTGCCTGCACACAGCCCGTGGCTGTCGGACTTCTCTGGGAATGGTCTTGGCTGAAGAGAGCCATCAAACCCAGGGCCATGCCCGCTTTCTGGGCCAGCCCACATCAGTGATTGATCGACACAGAAATACAAAGTCTGAGTCCCTCATTTCTCCTCAGGATAATTCTGAAGGTCCTTTTCACCTTTGGAATCCTGAGGGGTTGGCTTAGGCCTTCATTGAGATTGCACTGCCGCTGAACCTCTCCCTCTGCCCAGCCCTGCTTATTTCCTTTTCCTTCTGTTGTAGTTGATACCAGGATATTAGGAGCACTGCCTAATAAATTTTCTCTACTCCAAACCCTGACTCACAGTCTGGTTCTCAGGAACCTGAAGCCATGACAATGCTATGGTGCAATTTGAACTTTGGCCGCCTGGCTCCACAGGCCATACTTGTAACCAGTGTATTCTGCTACTCTCAAGGGAGGTAAAATTGTTAAAGCAGGAAGGGATATTATAGTCAGGTAGTACGATGCCATGTTAGCACCTAGAATTCAAAATACCATCTGAAAATACAATGTCCTGCCTCCTAGTAGACACTGTTCATTAAGATGGGATTTATGTGTGGTTTATAGAATAGGAAAATTAGAGGATCCCTCCATGCCTGCATATTTTGTTGCTAATTTTACTTAGTAGAATTGAGGTCCTCTATGGTTTTCCAATGAGGATGAGTTCACAGAAGGTCAGGTGCCAAAGAAGTGATAGCCTCCTAAATGGCTCTGAGAGGGGAAGTCTCTAGAATGGCAGAAGCCACCAGTGCTTTCTCCGTTGGCACTTTATGAGTGTGGAATCCTCGGTGAAATGCTGAAAGATCATCCATGAGCTTCCCTTAAAATTGTGTCTTTTCTCCCTGGAAAGAGCATTGGTCATGCAACCCCACTTCATCTTCTACAGATAAGAACCCAGAAGTATGGAGGGCAGAGGGCTTTCCCAGCTAACCAGAGGCAGAGAGGGATCTGGCACCTGTGCCTGGACTGCCACTCAAGGGCACTTTCTACTGCTTTGCCCTTCCATCTTGAAATTTCACGAAACATTTCCAATATTGTGAGTGTGCCCGAGTTGATTGGTACAAAACGATTATTCCTAGATGTGTTCCTCTAACACTTCCCAGCTTCCTTTGCATTTAGATCAGAATCACATGACCATCTGGCATTGGACTGTGAGTAGATCAGTCTTCCTCTATGTGCTCTTCCAAGGAAAAGCTTGGATATCAGGTGGAACATATGCAAAGCTGAAGGTGGAGGAAGGCCTCCCAACTCATATGAGACTTTATGTGAGCATGAGAACAGCCACTGCTCTCTAAAACTGCTGAGACTTCAGGGTTTTGACCTTTGAGTCAGCTGGTATCTACTACCCCAAGTCCACGGGCTTCTTCTCCTGGGTGAGCTTACCTGAACAGGACACAGTGAGCAAGGTTTGGCAACAGCAGCTGATGCTTGGAAAATATCAGCAGGAATAGGACACTCACTACTTCAACACTTGTTGCTCAACTCGGAAGCAAAAGGTATGTGAGAAGGCAGAAATTTCAAGGCTGAGAAAAGAAAGGTGGTTGCTGTCGAGTGTGCCATCCCACTCATCAGGAAATCAGCTCTCCGTAGATGTAGAGAAGATGGTTAGGCAGCTCTGGTGTGTTCTCCTTTGGTTCTCGGTCTACGCCCAGGGATAGGTTGGGACCACACCAACTTGCAGCCTATGCTCAGCTGCATCCCTCCTTGCAGGTGGCCCAGCAGCTGGTAGGAGGAGCTGAGCCCATGAAACCTCTGCTCCAGACCCATGTCATGTCCCCATATGTAGTGGGTTCCTCAGGTCCAGGCTCTGAACAGAGAACCCACCACTTCCCCCTGACAGACACAGCTGGGATCCTGGACAAAGTAAGACAGAGAGAAGGCAGGGCATCCTCTCTGCAGGGCTCTTGGCTTTACAACTATCACTGGGTGACTTTTGACTTGAGGACCTTAAATCAAAATGTGGGTTGCTGGCCTTAGAGTCTTTGCATTTTCCACCACTGAGCCTGGCACGCCCATAGCATGAGGTCCCCTGATGGAGGGCTCGGTTGCCTATGCCTTTATTCCTTGGTAGCTGGCATCTTATTTCAGAGTGGCTCTCCAGTGGGTAATCACAGACACCTCCCAGTGTCAGCAAGCCCAAGGCCAGGCTTCATACCCTCACCTCATGTAGCCTTAGATAATTATGACTGTTCCAGGTCATGGTAGTGGTTTCATTGTATGTAGACTCTACTGGATGGACTCTTCTTAAGGACAGGATGTGATAAAGCTAACAGGTGTTTCTGTGGCTGTTGATTTAGATAATGTGAGAAATTTTTATAACTGGTCTGATCTCTTCATCTTCATTAGTAGCAACACCGTCTCCAGTGGGTTCCAGTAGATGTCACAGTTAATATAATTGGCAAATCCATGAAATGCTCTGCTTTTTATATATAATACGAAGGAGACATTGTCACAAATATTTAATTTTACTGACAATTTTCTTTTTTAAAAATCTAATACATTTTAATTGTAAAAATGAAAACAATACAATAGAAAGAGAAAGTCATTTTCTAGTCCTCAATCTCTCTAACAGGTAAATGAATAGTTTGACATATACTCTTCATTTTTTATGCTTTCATGTACCCACATTATTCTTAAAACATAAAGAGATCATACTATATATATATTGCTATGTAACTTTCATTTTTATTTCACTTAAAGTATTAAGATATTTTTCCATGTCAATGGAATCTGCCTCATCTTTTAAAAATCTACAGAGAGTGTTACTATGTGGATTGACCATGGCTTATTTACTTAATTCTTCACTGATAGACATTAGGGTATTTCCATTCATTATTATTATGACCAATAGTATAATAAGCATCTTCATATGGTATATCTTTGCATATCTGTCTTATAATTTCTTTAGGCTAAATTGCTAAAATCAGAAATACTACTTCAAAAGGCACATACAATAAGAATTTCAAATTGTAAATAGATTATCTTCCAGAAACATTGCAGTAATTTATATTCCTAGCAACTAATGCAAGTGCCTATTTTGCCACATCTTTATCAGTACTGAGTATTTTCACTGCTGTTACTTTGAGAGGTTTAGATAAGTCTTGCTTTTTAAAATTTGCATTTCTTCATTTGTTATTGAGTTTGAGCAGTGTCTTCTCATATGGTAATGGTCGTTGTATCTTAACTGCTAATTGACTGTTTAATTTTTGTCCATTTTTCATTTGTTTGTGTTTTCAGATACATAAAATCTCTGTATATTTAACAAACTGATTATGATGCCTTTATATATATATATATATGTTACTATATAATAATATAAATATAATTATTTTCTCACATTATATCTAGGATATTTGCTTATATATTCTGAAGTGAGATATGTCTGTACTTCTCTTTATTGGGTGCTATTTTTGTCAGACTTTACATAAATGTTAGGCTGGCTTCATAGATAGCTCCCCAAATCAGTTTTCTTTTTTTTTTTTTTTT